ACTATAACGTGCAACATATTGTTTTATAAAGTGCAAAGATTTATTTTATAAAGTGCAACCCATTGTTATATAAAGTGTATTACTGTAAATTATCATTTGATCACATTAACGGTTTATAAAGTGCAACCCATTGTTATATAAAGTGCATTACTGTAAATTATCATTTGATCACATTCATTAAGTGTAATTTCATTCTATGCTAAAAAGTTCGACACGAGAATACACGATTTGAAATTTTCGCATTATTCATCAAATCTAGGTGTGAATTATAATTATAATGTAGATCCACAACATAAATAATTGAATATTGAGTAAAAATGCAATTAATTTTTTCTAATAAATGATACACGTGAATGAGGAATTATGGATGTGTGGACCCTTTGTTTCTTACCCAATTGCAAATTAAGTTCATTTGTCGAGCTCTGTCAAAAATAAAAATCAATTCTTGAAGCTAGCTGCTAGCGGCACCAGTAGACGTGCACCAATTTTTTTTTTTTAACTTTATTAAAGTGCTTTTTGGGTATTTAATGCAAAATTGCATTTAGGTCCTTCAACATTTTCTAATTTTCAAAATAAATGCCCAACTCAATTTTAGGTTTGAAGTGGATCGAGAAGGGCTGCATCTCCTCCGGACACGGTACTCCGGTCAATTGGACGCACTCGGAGAGATTCTCGCCGACCGTCTGCTTCAATTACGACAGGAGCTTCTTGTTCGGGTTGGTATCGAGTTGGTCGCGAATTGAAGTCGTCGGAGTTGAGCGGCGGCGCTGTGTTCTCAGGCGGTGGCGATCGGTGCCGACGAAGGAGAGGTCTCCGTGATGAAATCGACGCACATGGCGTGTGCGTGTGTGTTGCGGGTTCAGTGGATTGTGGTAGCTGAAAATTCAGGGGGCTTCTGCGGACTTCGGCGGCACTGAGTTGCAGGCGGCGGTGATCGACGCCAGAGAACGGTTAGGCCGCCATGTGCAGCTTGGAGAATATGTTGTGTGTGTGTATGTTGCGGGATGGTGGTGACCTGAAACTTTGTGAGAGGTTTGTTAATTCCCGTCGGTGATGGCGGCGTTGGCCGACGACGGTGAGATCTGTTTTCAGCTTTCAAGTTTTTTTTCCCTTCGTAGCAGGTGTTTGTGTGTGTGTGTGTGTGTGAGAGAGAGAGAGAGAGGAAGAGAGAGGGGGAGAGAGACGTGTTGGGTGTGTGTGTGAGTGCTGATGGATTCCACGTTTTTGGTTGGGTTGTTGGAATGTATTAATTACGGATTTGTCCTTAATGAATGAAGAAAATTGTCATTTTTGTAGCCATTAGATTGTCAGATCTAATGGCTAGAATTTATTCTCATTTTTTTCACTGAGAACCATTCTCATGTGAACCCAACCCTATATTATTAAACAAAAGATATTATAACTCACAAAGAATAATTACAAAGTTGGGGGCATAAAGTGTAACACCCAGCCTTCTACTTCTATGCTTTTAAAAATCAGAGTTATATTTTGACTTTTTATATTTTTGAAAAACACTTAGTTTTTATTTTTGAAAACACTAATACTGATTCGTGGGATGTTACTAACTCTATTTTTCTTTTTTCTTTCTCATGCAGACATAATAATAATACATGTCTCATAATCAAATTCATTTAATAAAGGTATCATGGAAATCAAGGTATTACACATGCATAAGTTTGGAGTTTCATGATAACATACTGAGTATGAATGTGCGGAAACTAAACATAGTAAATACACGCATAATAAATAATACATGTTCATAATAAACAACATGAAAATGCGTGTCAAAAATCCACTGCTTATGACCACGGCCACCACAAGTACTCACGCGGCACGCTGGACTCCATCACCTAAAAAGAAAGTTAGTGGGGACATGAGCAAAACCACTATGCTCCGCACAGATCGGTACTGAGTAAAACAACATCATTAATAACAATATCATGACTTAAGAATATAAGTAACTGTACTAAACTGAATTGAACTTAGCTTAAAGTCGCTCGACACAAGGCCGCTAATTCATGTGCACCCTGTCTGGCGCATTAAGGCCTCCAGATCGGGACCACAAGTGGAACATTAAGGTCCAGCTTGGCCTCCAATCCTGGGCGCTAAACTTTTCTCATGCATACCTCGAACATGCTACGAAAATTAAAGATGATGTAAAACACAGTACGTGACCCCCACCTGATCTGCTGATACTGTTAGGCAAGTGTTGAATGACTGGTAGCTATCGGAGGCTCAACTCTCCTTAAGCTACATAATGGTATGAGCAAAATATTCTAAGTACTAAGCTCAAACTGAAAAGCTTGATTATTCTTATTATATGATCTTACTAGGTTTGCTCGCTCGATTTTAAAAGCTTGATTATTCTTCGTAAATTCTTAATTATGTCGAGATTTATTACTTATTAATCGCATAATTTATTAAGTTCTAAGTTGGGACGTATGCTGGGCTTCTTTTTTTTCTTTTACTGCGGACGTTGGGATGTATACTTGGGCCT